ATATCCTTCAGATCATAACCGGAGGTACAACCTCATGTGAAATATGTTCAAATATTTTAAAACACTACCGTTCCTTGTCTATTTCCATTGTCTTAGCTTATGTCCTGAGAGAAAATGCTATTTTTTCTGTGCTATACTTCATTTATTTTATATATGACATTTTGTTTCCTTGAAATGTTTTTTTTTTGTGGTGTTGTGTATTTAGTACAGAATCTAAAGGGCCTCATTACACAGATCGGACTTGTAATGAACCTTCTTTTTTCAGTGTCCCAAGCTCTTGGTTTACAGATGCATGACACCATACCCAATCTCATTTGCTGTATCAGTGCACCCCTGGGGCAGGGCTGGTAGGGATTGAACCTGGTCCCTGTGTGTGCCTAAATAGGTATTTTAATCTGCTGAGCTATCTGGTAGGATCTCCTTGAAGCTTCTGAATATTACTTAAAGAAAACTTTTTTGCATACTAATTTTTTGTTGTTATAATTCACATTTAACATACTAGCAAATGTATGCAATAGGCATTCAGTAAACACGTATATCTTTAAAATAACAAAAAATTAGCAGGAAAAATCTGAGAATCATCTGGAAAAAGTGAGCATCATGGCTTTGGAGAAATTTTATAACTCATCACTTCTGCCACTAGTCTCATGCATTTGAACCCCATACTATACTGCACTCTCATGTAACACAGTGAAGCAGATATCTTTATAAAACAGGTATTTCTAAGTAAAAATATCTTATTTTTTAAGCATTTTATAATAATGATAATAAAATTATTCCCTGTGGCTTTGCTATTGTTATTCAGAAAAAACAATGTAGCCTTCATATGCAAAGTACTTATATAAATATGACTTACCAAGTATTAGCAAGCATTAACTACAATTGTATTATTCTCTCTAATATAGCAAGTGCTAAAATGGTTTCAAAACTCCACCAGAATTGATAAGAATAAGTCTTCTTATACATAAGGCCTGGAGCATAATAAACTGAAGCAAGAATAGAAATTGAAGTTGTAGAATGATGAGATTTCTTAATAGTGAAGTAGTAAATAGTCAAATGAGCAGATTCCTCTAGGAAACATGTTGAAAAGAGGCTTTTTTCATTTTTCAATGCGATAGAAACATTCAATAGGCTATATATAGGTAGACAAGACACCTATACAGGAAGTTGCTAACTTAGAAACCTCAAAGATAATTATGAGTTCTGTTATTTTAGAGCAGTGACCAGTCCTTTGTACTAGTATATTGAATTTATACATTATTGCTCCTTCCTCGTCTTTCTGTTCCCCTCTTCTTGTCTTATGCTTATAAACTAAAACACATCATCTTTGAATATGTTGTCTTTCTTTGAGAAATAAAGGAAATATACTTTGAATTGAAGTGTAAAAGCATATTCATTTAAGAATAAAAAAGACAATATTTTTTGTCTAGACTTTACAGTATCTCTTATGTAAATGAACCAAATTTATGGTTAAATATGGCAAAAATATGAGTACTCAAGATGAGTGGATGACCATTGTAATTTTAAAGAAAATAATATGGAGATCAATGACAGAAATTAAAAATTACAAATGTACACTTGCTTAGAAATGGAAAAAAGGATTATTTAAGCTGGAAGAACTGCAAATCTCTTATGAAAAGAAAATCAGCTGGGCAAAATATGAGCCAATATTCATAAATTTATTATACATACAACTTTTATTCTTCCTTTCTTTTCTTATTTTTATGTATTTTAGGGAAGGATCTACAGGGTGTCCAGGGTCTCACTAGTAGATAGCACTTGTAGTGATCTGCCTGTTTACAGCCTCCCATGAGCTTGGATAACACCACCCCCATTCTCAACTGTCTCAGATTGCCCCTGGAGAGGGGCCGGCATGGCAGGTGGGTGGGGGGCCGGGGCGGGGGAACAGGAGGGGAATCGAACTTCAGGCACCTGCATCTGCCTAAGCAGGCGCTTTAATTCCCTGAGCTATGTGGCCAGCCCTTCCCCATCTTCTGCTTAGATAATAATTCCATCACTTACTATTTCAGGAAATACATGGAAACACATTGACACAGACACACATGTGCATGCACACACACACACACACACACACACACAAGCAAAGCTGACAAATTGGATGGAAAGATAAAGGAAAGAATGTAAGTTGATTGGAATAGATAGTCTGTACTGCAAATTTTTATATTGCTATTTTTATTTTATTTTCAAAGCCTGAAAAACAATTCACCTCCCAAAACTCTGCTATCCATCAAGTTAATAATTTGCATCCCCAAATTGGAAGTTTAAATCAAAAGATAATACATGGTACACTGCTCAAGATTATGTTCTAAACTCAGGGAACAGACATGATAACTAACTTTTATGAGTAAATCTTCAGAAATTAAAATAAATCATGCTTTCTTGATTGTTCTAAATCCTTTTTGAAATGATTTCTCTTTCGCACTGGTGCTCTCTGAAGGTAACGTAGTGAATTCCTTTACTATACATCTACCTCTGTGCAAAAAGCAGTCCCACAATTAGCCTCAAAGGACTGTCACAAGTTTATTCCCTTTGCCCTCTTGCTCCTTTTGTCCCTCCCTTGCCTAGGAACTGGTTACCCCAGCAATAGAATTCTTAGACGCATAAGCATTTGGTGCCTGGTTTCATTCAAGTTGCCAAGTCTCAATAAGGCAGAAGCGAAAACCAGTTCTCCTGAGTTGGCCTGTGCCAGCATTCAGCTTGATTTCAATACCACCCCATGATGTCAATCCTGATTTCTCCATGGATTATATTGAAAATGTGTAAGTACATAACTGAGTAAAAATTGCTTAATTTTAAAGACAAAAGTCAGTATGGATTTCTTTACTATGTAACTAGAATGGGGACAAGAAGTTTGAGAGGGGCAAGGGGAAAATCTAGATAAAAACTTGAAGGATATAAATTTAGATGCTAAGATTGCTGAAATTAAGAGTGGCCAATTTTAAAGTTGTTTGAACATAGCAAATAGCTATTCTAACTAGTGGGGCTTTAAGGATAAGGGAATTTTTATACAAAGATATAACATGTGTTAAACAAGAAGGAAGTGTAACAGAAATTGTCTTATTTGTTGCTTCTTCAAGAGAAACCACAGTGTTTGTCAACATACTTAAAATTTCTTTCAGTCCTGTGGAGGAAAATGGAGTGTTTATTTTCAGAAAACTTTCCAGGAAAGTCTACTAGAATGCGAACAATGGGCTTAATGGATCATTGATAAGTACATGGTCATGAAAGAGAAGTATCTTCTATCCTATGTCTATTAGGAAACAATGCCAGTCATGTAAACCTTTTTGTTGCTGCCTCGAGGAGACATGGAAACAAAGAAAACATGTAGCCTGGTGCTAAAAAGGGATTTCATGTGAAAGGGTTACTGGACAAAGGAAGTATTTCCTGTGAGTGGAAGGAGAGAGGGTAGTACTTTTCACATATTACAGGTGTATTCAGCCAATTATCTATTTCAGACATTTTCTGGTCACTATGTTTGCTTTTAGTAACTTTCTTTCTTCATTTTTTCAAGTCTTGAAGAGCATGGTCCTTCATCCATAGTGGCAGCTGTGGACAAAAGTGGAATCAGGGATCTGCAACAAGATTGGACCAACCAGTATTTGGATTCTACTCTAAAGAATGATAAGGATGATACAGAGCCCTGGTCCCAGCTTCATAATACACTGAGACCTCCCTTGAGTCTGTTGGAAGCTCTTCCAGGACAACTGGATTGCCCATCTGAGAAAACAGGATCTCACATTCTGAATCATTCAAGAGCTCTCCATTACCTGTGTGGGCTACCAACTGCTGTTGTACAAGATTTCCTAGCAACAGTGAAAGTAAATAATTCTAAATTTTTAGCAGGCCATAAGCAGAAGGGTCAGGATTCTATTGTGTCTCAGGCATTGTTTGGCAGTCCTCTGGCACTGATGATAGGGGGCACAACAGTCAGTAATTGGCTTACTGGGTGGGGTGGCAATAATACAATGCTATATGTAGTGTTGCCATAAGGCCCAATATTCTTTCCACCTAGGGGCCCACAAGCAAGAGTCCCTCTATGCATTTCCACTCTGAGATCAGGAGCAGTAATAAAGGTGCCTCAAGGAAATACAATGATAGACTGTTACAGAAGGCTAGCTGATGATTTTTTTCCAACACAGAGTCCGTGAACATCATGTGACTAATTGGCCAAGGCCATTCCCTTTATCTTTCTATGCTCTGCCTTTACTGGGCTCAAATCCTCATTACTTCTTATCTTCTCAACCTCTGAGTTTTAATGGATTTCTCAAGGTCCCTCTTGCCTTTCCTGCTCCCCTAGTGTCTGGTCTTCCTCTTTCACGCTATTTTGTCTGCCCTCATCCTGGAAGAATGCACCCTCCTGGATCTTCAAACTAAAACACTGAACTGATGGCATAAAGGAGGGGGAAAAAGGTTTAAGAAATTGCTGAAGGTTACATTTATGTTTTTCATCAGTGAAAACCTCTACCCTCTTGCATTCAGTTTTGCACTAAATGTGCCTTACATAGAGATTCAATAAAGATTCCTCAGCCTGAAATCTTGTGACACTTTTACTTGTTACCTGAGAACTTAATCTTGGATCTGATTTTCTACCTTTATAACAATTAAAGCATAAATGTGTCAGTGTTTTTTAAATAGTTTAGTTGAACACTTATCACCGTTCAGGAATGACTGGCTTTGTATTACATATGTAGAAACTGCTGTTTCTTCTTAGACCAAGTCAAAGAAGGGGGATTCCTCCAAGCCTTAGGAGTACTCTGAGTTGGATAGATAATATAAGTTTGATGAAGGCAGGAAGGTCAAAGTCCATATAACAGAGAGAAGTGTACAAGGAATCAAAGGGCCCAGGGGAGAGTAAGATGAAAGCACCAGAGCCAACATTACACATCCAGTGAGATGAAGTAGGCTAAGCAGTCAGGAAATGAGAAGGGAGAATAAAATTGGAGTCTTAAATCATGGTTGCAACTTAAAATAGTGTTTGCATCTTAATTTTCACTGTTGCTAAATCTATAGGGAGTAATGGGAAAGGATTTAGTGCTTTCAATGATATAAACAGTCTGCTGCACATTGCTTAGCATAGGTTTACCATTTCTGCAGTACAGTACATGTATGGCAGACTTTATAGTCCAGAAGGAAAGTGGAAAAAGATCTATGCTTCCAACCATTCTATGGATAAAGTACTACTATATTCTTAGAACTTTTATATCAAGTGAAAATATTATTAATGTGGAATTTTCTTAGATACTGCTTGGTTTTTTTCATAATTGACTATACACACAAATTTGAGGCATTATCCAATTGTCCAGGTGAGGATTTTGAAAATCCTAATGACAAAGCCATAGTCACAGCATTAATGATAAAAGGATAGAAATTTTCACTGCTGTTCAACCTAATTCATTATATGGGAAATTGCTCTATTACTTATTGCCAGTGTACATAACAAACACTAAATCAGAAATACATTCAGAGGAAAATTCTTCAAATGAACACTTCCTTATTTTTGTTGTTAAAGTTGTACGTGATATAATTATCAGGTATAAGCTCACAAAAACTACAAATCCAGAAGATAACTACCTTTTTAGCAAGACTATTAATATGACTTAGAATCAATAGTGGATTTTTTGCTATGGTAACAAGAAGAGCAAGTGGATTTCTCAAGATTTTGTTCTCCATTTGTTTTATAAGAGGTCATTCTAAATGTACAGGCAGTGGTCTGAGACTTAGCATGAGCTTCCCAAATTCTCACTCTGTGTATGTCCAGGAGCTGGCAGGATTCCATCAACTCACTGTGGTGAGGTGAGCAAGAGAACTCAGCAAATCATCTGACAGCTGCTCTCTAAGAGGTAGCTTAGTCCCAGCATATCAAACACTTACTGAACTTTCAGGCTTAATGAGCAGAGGAGTTGTGCATTGCTCATAGTTATAAAAATATCTTTTGAACCAGATGTTAAAAGATAGTTTGAAAAGAAATCAAATGGTGTCATTGGCGGTTCTGCATCTGCAGAAATTTGGCAAAAAGTGTGGTAAGTGATAACAGGACAGGATTTTCTCTCTTTCCCAAAGAAAGTAATTCAGTCAAATGCTTAAAAGATTTTACCTGCAATTACAGAATTCCATTAAAAATTCACTATAATAAGAATGTTCTATCAACACAGTCTGTTTCTTTCCAACCCTCTGTTCTATTTCCTAACACCCTGTGTGTTTGTCATTTTATACGTCTTTTCAAAACACTCAAAGCATATAGTAAGCAACAAAGAAAACCTGTTAGCAAATTGAGGCTTTGACATTTTAGGTTTACCTGTGTGATATAGGATAAATATATATTCTTCAATTTATTTAGAGCTTTGTTCCTATAACATATCTTAATGACTGGGTCTTGCTGTAAAATGTAAGTGACATGCTATTTTTGTTTAATAATGGCTTCTATATGGAAACAGTGTATTACTTTCAGTCATATGTGCCAGTGTCAGTGAAGATAGAATGCCATGTGTTTTTAAAGCCATGTGTTTGTCTTTAAATTTGATATTTTTATATTATTCTAGTGGAACTTGAACCAATATTAGTCCTATAGTCTGCATCTTGTACTATGAGTAACAACTATGAAGACAACAATATGTATTGTTTTGATTATTGTAACTATCTTACTAACCTGTTTTGAAACTGTCTCATTCCTATTTCTTTCTCAATCAAATTAATATAAAAAGAAAAAAAACATTAGTCCTATAGCATAATATCCATTTTAGGATATTATAATAAAGTAATATATTCAACTATCTATTTATCTATCTGTCTGTCTATCTATCTATCTATCTATCTATCTATCTATCTATCTATGGTTTTCTCTTTCTTTTAAATGTCTCATGAATATAAAAGAAACAAAAAATAACAACAATAGATTTTTATCACAATTGGAGTGGTTTAAATATTTTCTTTTCCCAGTTATAGTCATTGTCACAAAAATGTTCATGTCTTACTGCTTATTATTTATAATTCTCATTATATTCTTTGTCACAAGACTATAGCAGCAAAATTTTAATATGCTACACATTCTCAGTAGATAATAAACAGTACAATTTTCACCTTATATATGTCCCCAAGTATTATTCACTAGACATTTCTGTTTTTCACTGAATAAAACTGCTGTGTCCTAGATGGAAAGGGAAAAAATGCAACCAATCCAAGTACAGAAAACTGAAAAATTTACAATTCACAGTTAAAATACTGTTAAAGTTCATAATCTATGCACAAGACTGACACTAAAATCAATCTTAATTTTTCTGAAGATTATCGTAACAAAAATACTAAATAGGATCAAAAGTTTTATTTTCCTGACAGTGTTATGGTTAAGATGATAGTACCAATTTCACCTGCTGATGGAACAAGAATTTCATCATATCATTGTTACTATATAAGTAGGTTGCACATATATAATAAGGGAAAATAGCCATAATATATAACTAGCAACTTGTATTATACAATGGCTTGGCATTATCAATTATTACTGAAAGATATTCATCTTTATTTCTTTAAGTATAGATTTGTGAAAATGGTTCTATTTCATGATAAAAGGGCTGAAACAGGAGACAAGAACATTTATACAGGTAAAACACACTATGTCTTATCCTAGGCTAACTTTGCATCACTCACAACACTTTGCAATTTTTCTTTATAATTACCCAGATTGTGAGAGGCCACAGAAAGAAAAAATTGATGAACCTAAAGTAAGTGACATAGTCCATTTCTCTGTGGTGATATTTTGCATAGAATAGTAAAATGTATATTTTATATCTACTGAATTATGATTTTTTTAAGTGGATGCCACTTGAAGGTATACTCACAAGTGAAATAAACTAGACCCGCATGTGTAAATATCATATAGTCTCCCTCAAAATAAGAAATAAAAATAGAAAGGTTTAACACAATTCAATGGAATTAATCATATAGGTGTTTCTTTTTATGAAAAAGACAATAATAAACTAAACTTATTAATTGGGTGTCATATGATGTTTCAGCATGTATATGGATTATATCATGTTCAAATAAGGACCAGCACACATATCTCCTCTAACCTTTAGTAATTCTTTAGAGTGACAACTTTCAAAAACTGTTTTTCTAGCTTTTTGAGATATACACCATATTATCATGACAGTCAACATACTGTGCAATAGCACATGGGACCTTCTTTATCCTATTTGTCACTTAGTTCCCACTGATCAGCTTCTTCTCACCCCCTGCCTGATATTCACTCTGGTGCCTACTTTCTGATAAGCTTGATCACACTATTAACTCCTACCCAATCAGTACTTTTCAATTCCAGATATGAGGGAAAGATCATACAGTATGAGTCTTGTTGTGCCTGTTTTATTGCTTTTATAAGAACTGTCATGTTGTTACAAATGACAGAATTTCATTCTTTTTGTAATGCATGCTATCCCACTATATATACGTACCACAATTTCTTTATATATTTATCAGTTTTCAAAGATTTACAATGTTTTAATTTTTTAGCTATTGCGAATGATGCTTCAATAACCATGGGGATGTAACTATTATTATACCATAGATTTTGGTGTCCTTGGATACATACCCAGTGGTATAATTGTGGCATTAGATCATTATTTTTTATTTCTTGTGGACCCTCCAAACTGTTTTCCATTATTGCAGAGCTAATTCACATTTCCATCAACAGTGGGAAGGTGTTTCCTTCTCCACACCCTCACCAGAATTTGTTAGAGATACTAAGAAAAGCTTTTTTAGTATCTTTATTTCTCAATGAAACACACTGTTGGGATTATTTTTATAAGTGACTTCATTACTGATTTTAGAGAATGAACTTCACTGAAGAAAATGACTGTATTTTACTCAACTCTGAAAACCTCTTTCCTCAAGTAAAATAATTTAAACCATATAAATCCATGAATTCCTCACATAAGACTGTGCATGTAATGGTGTTTGATCATATATTTTACTGTGACATATATGTTTATGACTGATTTCATCCAACATTCTGATGTTAAGAGCTATAACACAGAGGCAAAGAAACACTGGGAGTATGGGGTTGATGGACTGTGTTGGTGCATGTGAGAAATAGAAAAACAGATAGAGAAAGACAGAAGATTAAAAATAGAGAGAAACAGGGTCATTGTCAGTTGAGAAGAGATGAAATACTTTTGAACAGGAATCAACTGCAGATAAGAATTACTGTAGAAAAACTA